CACAAGTAGTTCTTATCAAGCTGACTTATAAAGCATAAAAACTGAACATTGAAAATAGCTAATTAATTCAAAGTCACTGGACCATGTCCTAGGGGAAAGGGCCTCAAAATAGTCGTCAAACTGATATGTACTGATAGTAATGCAACTTCATACAACATATCATTGATCTATCCCAAGTAGTTCCTATCAAACTAACTTAAGCAGAAAACTTAACTTTGAACATTGTTAAATAATTCAAAGTCACTGGGCCATGTCCTAGGGGGGCATGGCCTCAAAATAGTCGTCAAACTGATATGTACTGGTAGTAATGCAACTTCATAGTAAATATCAATGATTTATCACATGTAGTTCCTATCAAACTAACTTAAGCAGAAAACCTAACAATTGTCTCGCTAGCTTTCTGCGATTTTCGTCGCAGGCGAGACAAACAAAAGGTGTGTGAACGGGCAAGGTGTTACGTAATAAAGGTATATAGGTATATTTTTACTGAGACAAGTGCCTGTGGACAGATATTCATATAAATGGTCTTCGAATACATTCGTTACACACATACAAAATACAAATTGTTTGTACATAACGTTTTTTTTTTCGAACATTCCATACTTATTTCTATTACATTGAATGCAATTAATTACCATAATTTCCCAGTGTAAAAGAAATGATAATTTCACATGTGAAATAAACTCGTTAATTTTACTCAGCGGACGTCTAACAACAGTAGGTGTTGTCAAGACGTTGTCGATAACGTTCCATCAAAATAGAATTGTGAATGCGTAGAAAAAGATATAGTTCCTCGCGAAATATCGAAAAATATTCAACTCGTGACCGACCAACACTGATAATTAACTCGTGCGCTACGCGCATTCTTGAATTAATATGTTGTTCGGTCACTCGTTGATTTTTTTCGATATTTGAATTCTTCGATAAGTTATTCTTTAAATATTATAATATTTGTTTGCCGTATCGTTTTTTTTTTTGCATGACTTTATAATTCAAATGAAAGTAAACAATAACAAAAATAATGTATATGGTTTTAGGCTATCAATGTTGTTTAATACACGTGAATATATAAAAATAAGGAGATGTGGTATGATTGTTAGTGAAACAACTATCCACCTAAGTTCAAATGAAGTGGATGTAAGCAGTTCTAGGCAACTGTGCTGCCTTCAACAATGACAAAACGCATTCCGTATAGTCTATAAAAGACCCGACATGAAAAATATGAAACAATTCAATTGCAAAAACGAACGGCGTAATTTATAACAAAACGATTTACGAAAAACAAGTATGACATCTCCTGACTTGGGACACTTGTAAGGCACATACAGAATGTGGCGGGGTTAAATATGCTTGTGAGCGCTCAACATTCCCCTAACCAGGGCCAGTGGTGTTACAGCACATCATAAGAACAAAGTATAAAAATCAGTTGAAAATGGCTTAACTCATCAGATCTTTGCAAAGTAGGAACACATCTAACAAGAACACAGATCGGACGTGGCAGGGTATTTATACCATGTATACATCAAATAATGCAATTGTAATTAATACCATATCGTGACTGCTGCCTCCGCATTCATAATATTATGTAAACACTTATTTCGACCAAGTGCTACATGTACACGTAAAAATTTACGATATACGTAGAGATAAAATCGAGTAGATAGTAAGATTCGTGTGCTTTTTGATATTGGAGGTGCATAGATCAAATTGACCCCCCCCCCCCCTCCCCCCCCCCCCCCCCCCCCAAAAAAAAGACAAAAAGAAGGAAACATAGATTTTTTTGGGATATTGACATTCTTGTTCTACAAACAACCAAATAAGTATTATTCAAAAGACTCGCAAACACACACTACAAATACAAACAATATACACTGTATTTCAATGTAAAACATTACTATGAAAACACAAAATGTATCAAGTTGAAATAAAATGGTATTGAAAAATTACCTAGCCTGTAAATCGTCTTCTTCCTGCTAACAAACCAATATTTCAAACATATATAAACTATTCAATGGCCACGTGTTAGTTTACAATAATCTTTAAAGTGAGAAATCAAAATAAACATGGGTGTGCATTATTAAAACACCCAGTTATCATTACTGCGAAATTTAAATAGGTCAGCAGTGATTCGTGACGGAATTATTTGAGATTGGTTTCACTAAATAATATACAAGTCATTTGTCCTTCCTGGTATGGATATTGCGATGAACATCATATCTCTGTAGGGTACCTATAACATGTATAAAGTGCGAAAAGAAACAGAAACGAAACGAAACGAAACGAATTAAAAATTAATCAAATATGTATTATTATCACGAAATATATTCGCTCTGTTCAGTTGATGTCTAACTATCCGTTTTGATTAATATGTCATCCATATCTGCACAAGATACGATCAACTCTACATAATTTCTGATTTAAAATAAAACTTTAACTGATGACAAAAACGTTTTCATAAATGATTGACGTATGGCAAGAACAAGGAGTTGATGTAATATCTAGAAAAACAGCATGCCTACTGATGAAGAAGGAGAGGAACGTGAAAAAAAGAGCCAAAGGAATTTACCGTGTCAGTAAAGATTTGTCTTCTTGCGGTTGCCTTGTGAAGAAACATGACTTTTTTTGGCTTAAAATTTAATTTATTGATATATTTTGTAAGTGCTTAACTGAATATTGTTTTCCTAATTTCAGTGGCATGTATTTTATGTATATTCAGCAGGGAGAGAAAATTACATGTACCAATAATAACATTACATAATTATATGTTTTTTTTTAAATCCGTAATGTTGATTGGCTCTCAACAATCGCGAGGCACTCAAATAACATATTTTATTTCCGTATGAAATACAACAGCTATGACCATGATGACTGCACGTGCTATCCGTTACAATTTTAAAATAATGCATTGAAAGACAAACAAGAAGCTTGAAACAACTCTAAATTACATGGTTGTAGCATAAACATGAACCTATAATAATTGAATGCTTCTTTTTATAATTTTATAGGGTTGGAAAAGCGTTGATCCTTTGCACATTTTTAATATTAAGCACTTGCGCTTCAAACAAAATATGCTTCGTTCGACCCTCTTACAGCCCAATAAAATTATAACAAGAAGCGTCCCATTCTTAAATACATTGATTAAGCAGGGATTTCAATGTGGGAAGACAGATTGTGGGACACGAAATTTATATTTCACTGCAATTGAAAAAGAAGATACACAATAAAATTGAGAATGGAAATGGGGAATGTGTCAAAGAGAAAACAACCCGACCAAAGAGCAGAAAACAGCCGAAGGCCACCAATGGGTCTTCAACACAGCGAGAAGCTGGCCCCTAAACAAAAATGTGTACTAGTTAAGTGAAAATGGACGTCACACTAAACTCCAAAACATATAAATGAACTAAAATTAAAAAACATACAAGACTAACAAAGGCAAGAGGCTCCTGACTTGGGACAGGCGCAAAAATGCGGCGGGGTTAAACATGTTTTGTATGTTTGAAAGGTGCAGTTACATTATAACTAGCAATATGCGGTAGGATAAACAAGTAAGTAACCATAGAATAAATAAAGACTTTAATTTGTTGATATTATCTGGACCTTTAATCCTGAATTCACTGATGAAAGTAGAATTTTTGACATTACGATTGTAAAGTACGTGTATGTATTTTGTGACAAAAAGTCATGAATTGATACATCTTATCTTTTATAGACAATAAAATATTGTTGGTCTACAAATATCGAGTAACATCTATGGCATGTTTTGATATAATTCCTTCAAAATCTTTGTACAGAAAGAAGTTGCTAAACTTTAAGACTGCCTGCCATGTGGAATGGAAAATTCGGGTATAATTATATATCAGATGTCATTATTATATTCGTCCTTTTGTCATACTAGTATACTGAACATAAACAGCTGGTAAAAAATATTTACTGGTTCAAGAGCTACAATTTTTCTTCATAATCATAACTTTTCGTCTTTGACAAATATGGTTGTGCCCCATCTCCATGAACATACATATCCACTTGAAAGTATGTCCCACTGTTACTGCATTGACCTCAATATAAAAATTGGCATCCAATTAAAGTCTAATTGTCATTTCGCCGTTTCAGAATCTAAAGGGCTATGGGTAATTTTCATTGTTGGTACATGTACCTCAAAATGAAAACAACGTCACGGCATTAGTTGCATTTCAATTGTTTGTGATGTTAGATACTGTCGGCGTTTTAATGTACGATTTTGAAAATATTACCTAAAATGCATTAGATTCTGAAACGGCGAATTACCTATTTCATTCTGTTATTACAAACTTTAAACACAAGTTGTTTCTCTTCGCCTATTAATAGTAGATTGGTTTTAAACGGGACATAATGCGCTGCTTCCCATGATTCAAAGCATGCTAAGTTCAAAATTGGTATATAGGCACTCTAAACCAATTATTTAAATGAAAAATAACTGTTGATATCAAAAGATTTTAACTAAGCAAACGATTAAAAGTAATTAACAGATTTGAAAAAAAATATATATTATATAGAACATAACGCACAGATAAATTTACTCATTCCACTAGCTATTCATTGTGATTATTGCAAATGTTTGTGTGTCAGGAACCTCAGACAGTCTAACCTATGTTAGTCTTGTGTGTGTTTTTTCAAATTAGGTTCTTTTGTATGTTTCGGAATTTAGTGTGGCTTCCATTTCGCTGACTGACGAGTATATATTATTGTTAAGGGGCCCGCTGAAGCCCGCCTCCAGGTGCGGGATTTTATCGCTGCCAAGACCCATTGGTGACCTTGAGCTGTTTCTGCTCTTTGGTCGGGTTGTTATCTCTTTGACACATTCCCCGTTTCCATTCTCTATTTGTTCCTTCCTAAGGGAAACAATTCATCCAAATCGATCTCTTATTGTAGGATCAATAACGGAATTGACCAATAGACTATGATTACCCGTATTATAATATTAAAGATTATTTGTTCTCTCCCTTTAATTTTTCATTCACCAACTTATTTACATATAGTTCATTGTATTTTATTTTTAAATGCCTTTATTGAAATACACAGTGGCAAAATTTGCAATATGTATTTGATCAAATATATATATGTGTGTTAATAACGACTTTTAAGGTTATAAACTATGTACATATGACACTTAAAACAGGGACAATAGTAATATCAGTATAAGGCTGCAGAACTAGTACATAACGAATTGCTTGTAAGTATGATTTTAAATTAATATATGGTCATCTTGAACATGAAATCCAGGTCGTCACACTTATACATTCACGTTATAAATATAGCAGTACCATAAACAATCTGTTTATATACTACAGTAACTATTGATATTGTACGTATACCCTTAGTATTTGTGTACGTTCATAATATTGAAATTTAAATTATTTTTGTCATTTCAAAATTACGTGTGTTTGCTTTTAATTGTCTTCTCAATATTAAATACAAAACATGACAGATGATATATATATCACTCAAATCGATACTAGAAAAACTTGTTTACCTGAGGTATTTTGAATGACAGGCAATTCTCTAAGTCGGAGTAGACATTATATGTAGATAAAATAAACGTTTTCCAGGTGCTATAAATACTCTATCTGTCTATCATTATTATGTTTTGTTGTTTAATGGCAGATTTTAAGGTTCATTATCACTACAGTGTATTTAATAAAAATATCTGTAAATATGAAAATAAGAAAATGTGGTGTGTTTGCCAATAAGGCAACTATCCACCAAAGACCGAAATGGCACAGAAATTAACAACTCAAATATGTCACTGTGTCGTGTTGTGTTTCAGGAAAAAGTAAAATTTCTTTTCGGATTTTGATATTCATTTCATTTTATCACAGCAAAATATGGTTTATTAAACTAACATGTGATTAATTTGATTACTTGGTACCGTCTAAGTACTAACCAATTGCTTAAATGTCCTTCTATTGTCCCTGGCTACATGTACAATACAAATGTTAATTTATGGGGCATCACACAATGTTATCCAACAAGTTTTATGATTGCCATCAAAATGAAGGAAAGTATATACATTTGTGAAACTCGAAATCATTTCAATTTAGTAAATATACATGTAGATGCTATCATCCTTTAAAACTTAAAATGAAAGTTACATTTTTTGTTCTCTATTTTCGTCTTGGATAATAATTTACATTGTTTTACCTGATATCTAATTGATTAAATATTCACTTTATAGAATGTTCTACTACTTCACAAATTTCTAAATAAAACAGCACTTAAAATGGATGGACTGTAAATAGCAAAGTACCAAACAACTATCGAAGGTACAAATGTATAGTTACACTAAGGAGATACCATTAACTATTTTCTATCTGAATGAATTATAAAAAGAGGCGGAAAATGCTAAGGGGACATTCAAAGTTCTTCTCATGTAACATCTGTGTTGTATACTGAACAATAGAAGTACAATAGATATCTGCACAACAGGTTAACATTTACAGCATTAAAGGACCTGCAACTAATTACAAGGCAGGGGGTAGAACTATTTATAGTATTCTGGTAAACCTAGCAAACCATTGGTAGTCTGGTTCTTGCTGGTATGAGGGCGGTTATACGAAAGTTTCATTGAATTTAATGACTCATTAAGCTAATGACACTTTCGTACAACCGGCTGCAGTTCTGTATTCTTAATTTTTTAAGCCATTTTTCTATATGCTTTATAAATTTTGCCTGTTATTCTCTTCTTTTTATATTTTAGCACCCCACTATTCACTATTCTTTAGTTTTATGGCTTATTATTTCTTTTCTTTATATTATTTACCCTTTATTTATTATTTTGGCCCATTATTCTCTTTTTTGTAAACCCCATTCAGACCCTCTTGTATACCATCTACATTTTACACATGTTCTTTTGTTAGATTTAGGTACAAGATTTTGGATCAGTCATGGCAGTCGTTACTCAACAGCCATTATCTACCACTGTGGAAAAAGTACAATACAATTCTGGTCCAATTAAAATACGGAATTTGATGGATACACAGGAAGACTGCAGCTTTTATGGACGTTTGTCAACAGAAGCTTTCAGAGATAAAGTCGTTCATGCAACAAAGGAATCGAGGTATCAATTCTTAATTTATTATGCATGTAAACTTTTGAACCAGGCCCTCTGATATCTTATATTCAATTTTCTTTTATAGCGGGTATTAAGTTCAATCCTTTTTGGAAGTTTGCAGTTCATAAATATAGCTTTTATATTATATATTTAAATAGAACATAGAACAAATAGGGCTCTGTTAAAGGAGATACTATCTGGGGAAATTGGGAATGATTTTAAGGAAAAAAGTTAGCAAAAGGGTGAATAATTTTTTTTTTAATAAGAGTGGGAATGGGGATATATTTTTGTAAGTTTAGTAAAAAAACACATTTTAATCAGTACATTACACATAAAAAGTGCTAACAGTTTGCATAGATGCACTATGTTTTAAGTTGCATTTTTCTACATACAATGTATGTATATATAGTCATGGTGCATGTGCGTTGTCTGGCTTTTGTTTGATAAGATGCAGCTATGAATTGATGTAAACTCACTAAACTTCAAGAGGAATAAGGGATCAAACCAATCCGAACATCAAAAGTTATCAAAAAAATTGTTAAGGAGAGAAGATATTATTTTACAATATTAAAGATTGTAAAAATTAAGAAAACTTCTGGGTGAATACTTGATTTTTTATCAACATGTTCACAATTACACCATGTGCATTTGGAGAAAGCATGTAAAACACCTTAATAAACATAAATGCAAGATTAACCGAACAGCAGCACAAACAGCTTCGTTTTTGTCAAATATTTTGTATTTTCACGGAAAATGCAACGAATTTACAAATTGAAATCCAATTATAATTAATTTCAGTAAAACGAACTATGATAATCCGTATTTACACAAGCTGATTAATGCGAAATCTAGACGTTTAAAAAATCTGACATGTAAAGTTCATTTATAAACTACTTGAAATTTAAAAATCAGGCATTTAGCAAAATATTAAAATCGCATTCCAAGTCTTGCTAAATTCCTACTTTCAACACAATATTTCAGTATTCCAAAGGTGATAGAATACACTACAATGACCAGTAGGGGTCGACCTCAGGAATTGTATGATCGAATATTTGTTGCTGAATATGATGGAGTACGCGCTGGCTTATGCAGTATAGGTTATCACGGAGACAAAGAAAAATTCCCGTAAGTTCATGTTATTACAACGGATTTTATTATCAGACTCGTACATTCCATTAGCAATACGACGGATGTCAAAAGTAAAGCATGCACTTCCACCTTTCAGGAACACATGGGTTCACCCTTCCCCCCTAATCCCGTTTTTTTTATGGGGGGGGGGGGGGGGGGAGGGGGGTAGATTTGTTGCTCTTCTGTGTAAAGATTTATAGTATTTCAACTTTCTGTTCTTCTTTTTTATTGTTTTGACCTTGTCTGTCGTCGACATATTATTTTGATAGTCCCTTAATTTTTGTACTGTATCTGCTTCCTTTTTTCATTCAGCTAGTTTTTGATATCTTTATTCAAAAGGACAAAATCAACTATGGCTAAAAGATATCTACATGCACGGAATTCTTGAAATTAAATTGACGAAACTATATTACAATCAACTACATGTTTAAAAATGGTGGATGGGATGAATGGCATGGAATTTGACTTGTTAAAGTGTGGGGAAAAAACCAGATGGAATTTTGTTATTAGCACAAACTTTAACAGGTCATGGGTCATGGTGTTAAATATAAGAAAAAATGCCTCAAAGGTTTGTGGCACAGTTCCTCTTTTTCTATTTGTGTTTAAGATTTTTTATTTAATCTTCTTTTAACATTTAAACTGATTTTATGTCCTTGCTCTTATCCATACGAACCGCTTCAGTGATTACGTGGTAGCGTGTTCGCCTCAACTGATGGAAGTAGTTTGTTTGTACATTTATACAAACAAAGCAAGCAAGCCAACCAAACCATTTAACTGCAAGCATTAGGATAACAGCTTTAAAAGACTTTTCAAATTGGTATTTATTAAACAAAAATAATAAACAATAAAAACGTTTACAAATACCAGAAGTAAAGCCTGTTTTTTTTCCGTTCACATAGGAATTAATTCATTTTATTTTATGATGTCCTTCGATGCAAAATTGCCTGGCATCCTGGTCCAATCTCTAAGTCGCGTCGGTACACGTTTACTGCGCATTTTGAACAGCGAGTCAAGAAACCCGGCTAGAGATACGACTGTAACAATACTATATCCCGTACCCCTTTCCAACAAATTTATTACATATTTCTCACTGACCGATGGCAATGTATTTACATATATCCATGACTACCGTTACGAGGGCCTCAGTGAAAATTAGACTAGTTCAAATTGAGTTATCCTCTTTAAATAAAAAAATAAAAATATTATCATTATTAATATTATTAGTATTATTACACGTTCTTTTACTACCATCATTATATTTTACAGTGAAAGGGCAAATGATGTAGTTCCAAATTTTGATTGCTGTGATTTGTGTGGGTAAGTACAAGACCAAGTACAAATATGAGGGTCTGGATTGGGTTTCCAGAATAGAGAATAATGGACAAAATAAAAGGCAAAAAATTTATAGAATAGTAAATAATTAGGCCAAAAAAGATAAAGAATAGAGAATAATGGGTTGCTAAAACATAAAGAATAAATAATAACAGGCAAAATTTATAAAGAATAGAGAAGAATGGCTTAAGAAATTAGAGAATAAAGAATTGAAGGATCCCCAATCTAGACCCTCGAATAGGGAAAGCGGTGTGGGAATATATATCAATGAGACGCTGACGAATGACAGTTATAAGCGTAACTATTGAAGTTACAAACATATTTGTATAATAATTTTCAGAAACATTATTTACATACATGACTGTATATATGTATATACATGTATAGTTTAGGGGGGAAAAGTTTCGCACCATCTTAAAACAATGAGTAGTAAATGTTGTTACAGTTCCAATGAAATAATTTGGTATTATAAAGTAAAATATCAATATGATTTTAAAATAGTGAAACAACTTCTCAACTTAAACGATACTCTTTGACCCATACATCTATAAATCTTAGTTAGGATTTTTTTAAGTAAGGAGTTGGGAAAGGCAATGTACTTTTCTATATAAGTTGTGATATATTCATTGTGTGTCTGACCCTATTCAGTATACATTACTAGCAAAAGAAATAACTATGCTTATTAATAAATAATTAAAAACGAATAAAACAATAGAAAAAAGATATCAAAACTAAAAAGTGTGATGTAACTTAACATGCTGATCCCGGAAAACATAAAACCATACATCGGAGAAGTTGTAAACCATAATTATGATATTCTTTTATTATCTTATCGTTTGGTCAAGTCCATCAAGAACATCTATAAGTATGCCCATGTATATATATTAAAACAACAGATGCGCACATATCTAGTAATACAACACATGTGCACATGTATATAGTAAAACACACGTGCACATGAATATAGTAAAACGACACAAAATTCCTTGAATATCTTCATACATCGGGGGAAAAAAGAATATAGGTTGTTTACATATGCAGTAAAGACAACGCCTGCGGCCTAATTATTGAATCTACATTTCTGGGAAATCAAAGCAAAGGTTAGGTGTACCAGAGACTAACACTAACAACATTGTGTTCATGGGTTTCATAGTGTGGTTTATACTCTAAACTGATTTTACAGTTTGGTCATATCTTGTGCTGTCAGACCAGTGTCCTAGGTAAGAACTCTCACTAACATGATTAACCCCGCCACATTTTACGTGAGTCTGACACAAGTCAGGAGCCTGTTTTTCGTTGACTGTCATTAGTAAATGTCCGTCATAAAATCAGGCTAATGTTTTTTCGTTTGAATTGTTTCACAATTTTTTCATGTAACGGCCCTTTGTAGCTGACTATATGGTGTGGGTTTTAATCATTGACGAAGGTGACCTGTAGTTGCTTAAAGCCATTTTATTTGGAATCTTGGGGAAAGTGTTGTTTCATTGACAATTTTACTACATAGCATTACTTTATATTGAAACTGAGAAATTCATAATGTTTTTATTGAATGGGAAAAGTTAGTTCACTGAAAGTCAGTCAAAAGTAATTCAAGCAGAAAAAAAAACTTTCTCTATTTTTAAGTCACCAAATTATAGCAATGTACCAACAATCATATACATACCTACAGCGAAAACAAAAAAAAAAATCAGGGAAAAAGTTTGATTGCTAAAGGACGAAATGACCCACATTTGTTTCTGTATTACCTTTGTATTGACGTTATTTGGCGTATATACATGTACGTTCTAAAAGGAAATGTGTACAACGTTCTCTTCGTCGTAAACATACGATTGCTTACAATTTTCTCAAATGAGTAATATTGTCTTTTTCATTGTGTATATGTACATTGTTTAGGTTGTTATGCTTAGATATGGCAACAGCAGAGAAAAATGTTCCTGTCGGTAATTGCTATATTGAGGCAATATGTGTTGAAGACAAATTTAGAGGGAAAGGAATTGGGAAAGTTCTTATGGACGTTGTTGAAACAGATGCAAAAAATCATAATTGTAAAGTAAGTATGAAAGTGACTTTAACAGATTCATTCTGGTTTTTATAATTTCTATATCTATTAAATAATAGGCAAACACGAAATAAATAGTAAAAACTAAAATTTAAGGGCAAACATTCATATTAAGAGTCGTCTGACGATTTTGACAATATTGACTTTTGATTAATCAATATCTCTCTATATATATTCATAGTTTTCATGAATATAAGCAGAAATGAAAAAAATGATACAAATTGTCATGTAAGAGCAATTATTCTTTATTTGTTTTCACTATTTTCACATTTCCAAACTGGTTGCTAAAAAACTGTTCTGCTCACTCGTGAAATAACTGTTCCCGGAAAATGATTGGTCGAAATTTTTTTTTTTTTTTTTGGTTTCTTCTGAATTTCCTATTGTGACGTCATGAAAAAAGGCGACCATGTCTGATGACATCACATATAAATAACACAACTTTCTGCAAATCTTTGGAAGAATAAAAATCATTAGAAAAAAAGATTCTACCACCATAACTCGTGTATTACGATATTTATCCAAACTCATCAGTTAAATTTTCATTATTTAAAAACCTCAGCAAGCCTCGCGCTTTAAATGTTAAAATTTAATCGTCTCGAGTGGAGAAATATCGTAACACACTTGTTGTAGTGGTGGAATCTATACTCCATCAAGGAGTCGTCTGACGATTTCGGTTTATTTTTTGACTTATTTTTAGGTCTTATTTTGCTGATCATTTGTTCTTCTTTTTTTTACCTAGTATGTATTGTAACGTGTTTGGCTTATAATATATGAACTATCTGTTCGTATCCGTTTTCACAGGATAAGAGATACTTCAATATCAATCTTTTAGATGTTAACCCTAAACCCAACTACAACTTAGAAGTTTTACTATAAACTACGAGACCAACTTATAAACTTTGAATTTTAACTACAAAGAAGCAACAAAATAACATACAATTTACTTTGTATTCAAAAGTCTAAACTACAACTTCAATTTATCTTTTAGTTAATCCTTTAACTGACTCCGAAGTCCCAACTTATTTGTTGAACAATTATAACCTTTTAGAAACTAGAACCGAGACCCAAGCTTCAAAATCATAAGTTCCTGAGACACCTAGTCTCTGGGAAACCTAGTTCCTGAGACACCTAGTTCCTGAGACACCTAGTCTTCAAGACACCAGGTCTCTGAAACACCGAAGTCATCAGAAAATCACAAGCTACTTGTTCGATTGTGCCATGATAATGTTTTGTATTCTTGTCCTTCATTTTAGCTTATGTGCTTTGTCTATATGCCTTTTTGTGTTTCTTTGTTACATATTTGTTTGTTTTTATAGTGATAAAGATTATAACACAATGTTGACTGTTGTACCCCTATTTTGACATTTTTACCTATTATTTCTGTTTGTTTTGTTTACACATCGTTGTCAATTCAATATAATGGAATTTTATACGACTGTCATACAAGTGAGAGGTTTAGCTAGCTATAAAATCAGGTTTAATCCACCATTTTCTACATAAGAAAATGCCTGTACCAAGTCAGGAATATGACAGTTGTTATCCATTCGTTTGATGTGTTTGAGCTTTTGATTTTGCCATTTGTTAGGGACTTTCCGTTTTGAATTTTCCTCGGAGTTCGGTATTTTTGTGATTTTACTTTTTTCGAAGGACTGCGACCATTCCCGTGGAAAATTACAGTTTCGGAACAATCCGGTAACTTGCAACTATCTTTAAAGACTTCTAAACTGCTTGCTTCAAACCACAAGCTTTCAATTTGAACTTCCTGGTTTACTAACTTCCCAATTCTTACTACTTTGTTTGTTGGTATTTACTTTACGATGCTTAACCATCAACAGCCAAATTACAAATAAACGAACTCGCACAATGTGTCAGTGTTCTTATATACCTATAGCGCGGACCTCGAAGAGAGCTCCTTAGCAACAACGAGTCTCATAGCAACCAATGATAAAGGGATGATTTTCAACGAAGTTTTCGTTAATAGATATAAGAAGATGTGGTATGAGTGCCAATGAGACAACTCTCCATCCAAGTCACAATTTATAAAAGTAAACCATTATAGGTCAAAGAACGGTCTTCAACACGGAGCCTTGGCTCACACCGCACAGCAAGTTATAAAGGGCCCCAAAAATTACTAGTGTAAAACCATTCAAACGGGAAAACCAACGGTCTAATCTATATAAAAAACGAGAACCGAGAAACACTTATGAACCACATCAACAAACGACAACTACTGAACCTCAGATTCCTGACATAGGACAGGTGCAAACAATTGCAGCAAGTTTAAACGTTTTAATGGTACTAAACCTTCACCCTTATCTGAAACAATAGTGTAACATCACAACATAGAAAGACACACTATATGTATTGTTCAAACGGGTATTTTATGATGGATTACAATTAAACATTGAATTACAAATATTGTCTTATGCTTAAACTGCATTTTTGTCACAGTATTATATAATATAATAGGCAAAAGCGTAAAAAGAAAATGGAAAAGATTTTCATTTGGGGGAAATCACTCCTATAAAAGTATAAGGATTATTCTAACAGTTTTGATGTAAATAAACAATTTGTAGATAAACATTAATTTTAAACGTGTTTGCCTAATCAGATTTTTTTCTATCTAAAGCATTTTTTTAAGATAACAGAGAAATTTTCACACTTTACCATTATGTTCTATTTTTAGCCATGTTGACCATGTTGGTTGGCCGGTGGGATCATCAGACACATGATTTAAACGAGATACATATGTACCGCAATACTGATTGTGGCCAATTTGGTTTCAATTGGCTCAGTACTTTCAGAAAAGAATATTTTTTGTAAAAGTTAACGAACGACGGAAGATGACGACGAACGACGTACACCAAGTGAAGATAATAGCTCGCTTGGCCTGTTGAAATCAGGGGAGCAAAAAATCTAGTTCTAGACATAAAACTATGATGATTGGTTCTATGCTAGCATTTAATACATTATAGCCTGTTTATTTTTTTGACTGAGCAGTATTCAAAATAAAAATAACTAGAAAAAAGTTCAGTTTAATTAAGTACCAGTAACAAAAGAAACAGACGACATCTGGACAAACTGTTATAACAAAAAATACAAATACCTTTCTAATTAACACGATTTGATATTCCTCGGTCAAGCTACATGGCACATCGATCCAACTCGAGACATGTTTATTCTGAATTTTGACAAAGAACTTCAGGCATTCATAATCTGGTCATCGGTTTCGAATAAAACAATGATATTGTTAGAAGCACAAACGTACACACATAATGCAGTTGAGTGCTATTGTGAATTTAAATACATATGAGAGACTGACGAGGGCCTTGGTGTGATGGTGTAACGTAAAGGAACGACCGTTTTTAACGTCACGGGGGAAAAGGGGGGGATTGTTTTTTTCCTAAAAAAATATTCTGATCCCAAATTTGATGAAAACAAATATTGTGGTCAAGCCGATGACAAAAAAAAATATTCTGAATCCAGATTTTCCCCATGCCTCATAGTGTTAAATTTTGAGAAAAAAAAATTGATTGATAGCGTCAAAAAACTGAAAAAAAAGAATGTTCTCGCTTTGCGCGAAAAAAAATTTCTGACTCGGACAAAAAATCATAACCCCCTTTTTGAGTTCAAAGGTTGCTCTCAAAATTAAGAGAAATTCGATTCTATCGCGTTGTCCGATGCTAATACTTTTATTTTTTTTTTATCTATTTCAGGCTATGTATCTATGGGTTGTATCAACAAATCGAGCACTGAATTTATACTCACGTCAAGGATATGTTGTTACAGAAAATAAAACTTGTTGTTTGAAATGCATGTTAGGTGTAAAGGTATGTACATATACTATATGATAAAAGTTATCAAAATTTGTATTAAAAAAAAGGTAGAAGACTAGTAAAGAAATATTTGATCACGATACTATGTCGGATATGGATATAAACATACTGACTATCAAACAGAAAATGGTCCATCAAACATTCATAAAATAATTTTGACGTTCATATAAACTCGTTTTGAAGCTATGATATATTATTCTTTCGCTATCTAAATATGAATTTCATTTCCCAATAATGTTTATATCTTGGAAATTGGTTTTCAAAGGGTACGACACGACTAACTTGTAGTTTGAAACAAACTATTTTCCAGTTTTTACTTAGATGTATTTTTGTTTGTGTTCCACAAGCTGTAAAAATAATTCCTTATCTAAAAAAAAAAGGTTAGGTAAAATTATATCCATTAAGTTAAAAGTAAGGCACTGATCGCGACTGTTCCTCTTTTGTCAGTGGCAATTTTTAAAAATATAGTAATAAATAAGCTTTATTTAGAGTAGGCAGAGTATACAATTCATGTTACATGTTATATTAAAACAAATATACATATTTCTGTATCTGACTGCTGCATGATTGTATTTGTTTTTCTTTTTAAAATTGAAGTTCAGTTAAGTTTCATTTGATATGTTTGTGTTTTCTCCTCCGACTATTAGATTCGAACACGCGATCATTTTGCTGTACGTTGGTTCCGCCTACCACTGCACCACTGGGATCATTGAAAGAATTATCGAAATATTTAAAGTAGTAAAGTATACTACCTACTCAAGAAGTGAGACCCCGCCCCCTTTAAGATAATTAAAGGATGAAATTTATCTATTTACTTCATTTATTTTCAGAAAGCGTCACGAATGGATAAACCCCTGTGATATCAAGAAGCAAAACATATTTCTGTAAACATTTTTGTGACAAGTATGACGAATTTAGCCTGCCTGATCACTGAGTCTGGATTAGTAAATACCTTAGTAGATCTAAAACACATCGACAATTCTAACCTAATGATCTTCAATTTCTTAAGAACTAACACTCAGCAAGCAATATATATACACACTTTAACAAAATTTAGGCTGAGTAACCACAGCTTGAGAATAGAAACTGGGAGATATGAACGAAAACTAAATACAATCTCAGGAAAACTTGAGCTTCTGCCCAGATGTGGAATGCTCTATCAACACTGTTCACATAGCTTGAACTGCATTTTGTTTTAGAGTGCTCTCTGTAATAGTTATCCCATGAGGACGCAGTATGTCATTGTAAGATCATCCCGATGGCCGGCGGCCGGAGGATTATCTTACACTGACACACAAATTCCGAATGGGATAACTATTTTACATCCCAGCTGTTCTAGATTATATAAAAAACCATTTACGCTTCATAACATCTAGTTTAGAACGCCACACAATCATTATACTATACTTTATATATTACTATATAGTATATACCATTTATGAGCCCCGGACACAATGTTTAAATATGTTAAATTAACAGAGAGTTTATATCCAGTCGTCCTGATGTAGGGGTGTGAATCATGTGTCTATATTCTAAAGGTCTTGAGTTTTATTGTGGATTTGACATTTCCGCCAAAATGTCACAGAACAAAGGAAAGCACGCAGAACAAAGAAACTCGGGCTAGGCTGCTAGGGTGATCTGGTAGGGGTGGTCCGGCTCAGCTAACCCCTGGTAGAACAAAGGAGTTGGGATGTGAATATATATCTTTTTATCTGAATCATGACAAATAAAGATTTGGATTTCAATACAGTTTTTAGTCTGTATCTAAATAAAAAAAAGTTCAGTAAGACGGAGGGGGAAAAGGCACAAGTTAAGGTGAACAAATAGAGTTAGCCCTCTGTTTACTGGCTCTCTCCCTTCATGCATATAAGATTTTAATCATGTTTCTATATTTTGTATTTACTCATTTACTAATTACTAGTATTAATAATCAGTATGTATGTTAGATTGCATGTGTTGTTTGTGTGGATATTGCCTTACCTTAACTTTGTGATTCAGTGTATTGATTAATAATACTCTTGATGGGCCCTTTAATTAGGAATAAAGACATTTGATTGGATTTGATTTCATATACATGTACATGCAGTAGTGTCTTTTTGAAAATACTGACAATGAGGAATTATTTTATGTCGTACACAAATTTAATGATGGGATATGATTTTACAGCATCTATTGCCATTATACCAACCATCTGCTAATATCCATTATATATAATACATTCAAATAAATGCATTCAAATAATAATATGTTGTGGGGATGTATAAGTACCCGTCCACGTCCACTCTGTGTTTTTGTTAGATGTATTTCTATTTGTATACATCTGATGAGTTACAATATAGGAAGAAATAACGTTTAGCACCACCATGCCACTTTACTAATTGATTGATATTTTACAATGCGAGATCGCTTTATTTTTACTTGAAATTAGCAGCACGACGGTTCACACTAGTGGAGCAGGAACTGTTTTAACTTCAGAGCCCGAGTACATTCCCGATTCATTGCGGATTTCGTGTGCTTAATCTTTCTATTCGATAATATTGTTTACAAATTCCTTAATATCAGTTTGTGAGGGAGCCTAGAGTGTTAATATATCAACAAACTCATTCAAGATAATTTGTATTACTATGATAAATAAATGGTTTAATGGTTATTGTATGAATGTGTTCTTAATAAATGGACCTGTTTTTGCGTGTTCGTAATTTCTGCCTTTAGCTTTAATATTCATTACTGCATAGAATTCAATTATTTCTCAAACGGAAAAAAGAAAAAAGGAAATTTAATAAAAAAAAAAAAAAAAAAACACAGCCGTTGTTTCAGTTTTATTTAATGCTAAATGTGCATGCATGCAGACTTCAAATTGTGAATGCTTTAGAAACATGTTTCTTATATAAATTTGGCCAGAGCCTTCGAACGCTCGACACCATCCAGTTGTTTACATCCTTGTCATGTGGTGTTTGTTGGACAGTTGTCTCATAGGCGATCATACCACATCTTATTATATAACACACAGAACATCAAAACAAACAAGGCTTTAAATGTAACAGTCAAGATCTGGTAGGTTAAACTTTGCCACCAGAGGGGATTTCAACCTTAGTACAATTTTGTGTTACTGTGGCTACTAAATAGATGATAAATATAGATTCTACAACACAACTCCGTTGGTTAAGATATTTATTTACATTAGTTAAATTATCTTACTTTAAAATACGAGGTTTAACCATGCATATTAAAATGCTCGTTGTTGCATGACAGCCGTACGATGAACTATAGCCAAATGTGTTTTAAACTTCTATGTCATTTAATCCCTGGTGGGGTGTTGTGTCATTTAATTTGGCAATCACAACACATCTTTTTATTTTTATATAAAACTTTTGAGAGTGGATAGATATTGTAATCAACGGGTAAAGTGGTAGAATGTTTTCTCTAATGATTTAATGGAAAATGACGAGTCAATGTTCCGAATGGATATGGCGGGAAATTATGCAAGACAAATTTATTCAACGTGTGGTTGTTTTAAAATTCAACAAACTGGTCAGAACCTCTTTAAAAACATACAGAATAATGAAAGCTGGTTGCGTACTGCAACAGACTGCTAGCATACATGAATGCATCGGGCCAGTAGTATAGAGTCCTAATTAATCTACATCTTCCGCTAGGGGAATATAAGGTGAATCACTAAAATCTCCTCAGATTCCAGGCTGACCTTAATCCGATACTCAGAAGGTCAAATTAAAGGACATTCACGAAATGTCGTTAAGAAAGGTGGCATGTGTAAGCGGAACACATAAACTGTTCGTTACTTAATATTATTTGCAAACATTAAAAAGAACCATTGTACATGTAGAGTGTCGTTAGTGTACATAGGTACGTAAAAAATGTCATTTTCAAACATTGCTTTAAACAGTCCAAGCATAAATGTACTAAAAAAAGAAACAAACTTTTTCCACATAGTAAAATCGAACTAATCGGGTTGCTGCTAAATATCAAATCAATATATTTTACAACATATGGTTGGTTAATCCCCTGATTTAGCCAATATGTCAAATTTCATAGGTTATTTCAAAATTAATTTTTGTAATTTCTATGGCTAAGTGGTACATTTTTTTCAGCCATCAGTGCACACGGGAAAGTAAAGGCTGCATGAATAAAAAGAGATGTGAGGTATACGTCAAAGAGACAGCAACCAAACTACAGAAATAACCAAAAAGACATCTTGAGAGAGACATGTAATCTTCAACAATAGACAGGTGTCCTAACAATATGTCACATAAGTGCTATCTAATTTGTTTTCCAGCCAGTAGTATACACGGAAAATTAAGGTGAAATAGAAGGAGAATCAGATGTGGGTAATACGTCAATGGAACAGCAGCCCATCGACAAATATGCCCCCCCCCCCCCCCAAAAAAAAAAATGTCTATATGACTCGCTCTTAATTGTCTCGATTCCATGAAAGATATATATAAATTGAACAGAGACAATCAAAGATCTGCTTTTAACACTTAATTCTCTAAATATAGGAAAAGGGGGGGGGGGGGGGGGGGGGGGGGGGAATTTACATTACGATATGACATCCGATCGTTGACGACAACGTTGCTGACGTGGGACACACACACGTGTATGCTAACCTCTGAAAGAAGTAGCTTGTTTTGATACGTATTATGTATCGAAAACATTTTTTGGGGTTTTTGTTTTACGTTTGCCTTTTGTATTGTTTTGGGGTTTTTTTTCAGAAAAGGGGAGTACCGTAAAACAGATTTCTTAAATAATAAACATCAGCTATAAAATGCGAAATATTTTCAATGTTTAGTGAATAGGTAACAACTTTTTGACACATAAAACAAAAATATGAATAAAAGGAGATGCAAGGTATTATACATCAATAAAACAGCTAGCCAACAACACAACACTGAACGGTATGAAATGCGTTTTTTTTTTTTAAAAAACATTTTAGATTCTCTGTTCAAATAAACATCACTTTTCACGTGCAAGGGGTAGATTTTTTTAAAAATTATTACAGCATTATAGTAAATAAAAGTATATTAGCCAAAAAAAATTAGAAGTTTAGCGTTGGACTTTCTTCAGCGCAGGCCTTCGTAAAATAAGCGAGTTACAGAGTGTTGTACTATGCCGTCAATCTGAGTAGATGTAGATTTTATAACACAGTATAATATCTGCAACAGACGAAGAAACAGCGTAATTTCATCGTAAACGATTAAAACTGCTAAAGTCTGTTTTCAGTCAAAGTCACAGTCACACTGGCATATAAACCATTCCGTGATTGAAAAGAAGTCGTAAGTCGAAATTGACGTCAGTATGGTACCAGATGTAACGGAACTGTGGAGAAACACTCCACTTAGTTGACCATGCAGAGAGATTGTCAATTTAGCCAATCGTCTTAGGGAGCTACCATTAGATTTTTATGGGGGGGGGGGGGGGGGGGGGGGGCTTTTCTAGAGTCGCAAAATCATTTGAAAAAGAGTCTGACTATTGTTGATATAAAAAAAAAACATATAATCACGAAAGAAGGAGGTTTTTTTTTGTTTGGTCATTTCCCTCTTCGTTTAATTTTTGCTTTTTACATCGGATGACCGTGAGGGCATTCCGGTGTATTGTTGCCACAGACATTTCTACCACGTGACTTTCGTTTTTGACTGATAACCGAACGCGAAATAACATTCCTTATCGCTATATATATTAATATCATAAATAAATATTCATAAAAATAATTTTTAAGAACATAAATAAATGATATAAAAATGTTTTGTCGTGAGAAATATATATATCAATAACAAATCAAGAATACCGAAAATTTGTGTTAATGCATGCGGAAGAATATCTCAAGAACGTTTTGCGGGAAAATAATTTAATGAATGCCTACTCAAATCCAATCTATTAAAAAACTCGAATTATTACAGAAGAATTTCCACCATGCACTTGCACTGCACTATTATAAGTTTAGTAGAATAGAGTGATATACAAATGGATGAAAATTATATCATATACGTGTAACTGTTATATACAAATAGTAATATAATATATAACAACAAACCAGAGTATACTAATTTGTACCACTACAATATAATAGTTATTACGATGAGGTTGAATTCCCTGTCATTTATTCATCATCCACGCACGAACTTGTCTCAGAAAAAATATATATCTATGTACCTTAACCTCACTTTCAGGTATAGATATGTGATTTTTTTTTCTGAAACAAGTGCTTGTGACCATCCACAAGAACTTGCGGTCATCCGATGTTCAGTACTTCAGTACTTTGATTTCTATATGTCTCTGGACAATTATTATTAAGACTTGCATAGAGCTGCGCTAATTTTCCAAAACTGTGTGTGCGTTACTTCCTTTATTTTTCGCATGACACCCAGAGGGTATATAATTCGGGCCCGGTCACAAAGAACATACAAGAAAGTAGTACATATGTTAAACAAAATAGTTCCTACGCATAGTTGTAACTTTGTCCAAAAGTAAAAAAAAATGGATAACTAATTGGTATCAAACGAAAGGCTCCACGTCTTGGGATCACTGTAGAACCATTGACGAAAGTTTCTCGTGAATAATAAAAAAAAATATGAAATTATGATAGGGGCCATATTTGCACAGTTGCTCAGATCAGAAGTACCTGTTTTTATACTACCCAACTTTCGGGAACCAGTGCACTCTATTATGCAATTAAAGATATGTTGAGTTTTTCATCAGCACATTCAAGTCAGGATAAGGTATAGTTTTACTATGAAATGACTGCCACTTTATTTGAACTTAAGACAAAATAGCTATACATGCTTAAAATTGCAGAGTGGTTTTATTCCAGAAAACACATTTGAAGCAAGTGTTTGTCTGCGTTTCTGTAGAATTCTTTCTTTCTTCACTCAGAAAATACAAAAAAGCAAATGTTTAAGTAGACTAGACACATATGCAGTATCTTTACGATTTGATTTGCTGACACAAAGGCTTTAATATGCATGGAATATTTGCCACTGGGCGTTAAGCAGAAAACAATCAAATCAAATCAATCAATTATTTTTGATACAAAGAAAAACTGGCAGTGCTTATATCCTATCAGATTTATAAAAACAATTTCAGCCACCAGTAATCACGGAAAAGTAAGCGCTGCATGAATAAAAGGAGGTGTGAGGTATACGTCAATGCGACAGCAACCAAACTACAGAAATTACAAAAAGACATCTTGAGGGAGACATGTAATCTTCAACAATAGACAGGTGTCCTAACAATATGTCACATTAGTGATATCAGATTTTTTTTTTTTTTCAGCCAGCAATATACACGGAAAATTAAGTGTGAAATAGAATGAGAATCGCGGGTTATACGTCAATGGAACAGTAGGCCACGAACAAATATCTCTAATATCCCCCTTTTATCTTACAACATTACGAGGAGAGATATAGGACAAGTTGTAGCTAAGATTCAATCCCGTCGCCTCAACGTGCGTACGGGTTGCACTCAGTCACGTCGAGGGCTAAGTTCCCAACAGATCTAGACTGTATTAAGTAGACTGCGGTTAGATAACAAATTCTTCAATGCAAACTTATATGTAAAAAATATTTCATGAAAACGGTATAATTATAATACGGGAATATTTCAAAGTTTTGCAAAATTTGTGTTTGTTATTCGGAAAAAGCCATGCTAGAGATTCATTCTATGATTGATTCGTT